CTGTTTTCTTTTTTATACCCCCCCCCCTTCCCGGGCGAGCTTCTCCCTCGTTTGTGTTTTGATTTATTATTTCCCGCGATATCCTTTTTAAGTGCGGTAAGAAGATAAATTCACTCTGGCGATTTCGGTTATGCGATCGCTTCCGGAATTTCTCCGTTTCCCGCTTCATTTTCCGCGCTGACGAATGTCCTCGGCTGATTCGCCGCTGCCTCGGATCACCTGCATTTACCTGCCGGTATATTTTTATTTTGTAACACAACTTTAGGGGGGTTAACGAAAAAATATGGGGGAGGGGGGAGGTTAGAAATGAAAGTTAATGGGGAAAATAATTGGAAGAAATAGAAAAATAAGTGAAAAGAATGGAAAAACAAGTGAGGTAAAAATGTTAAGTAGGAGTGCTACGGAAAAAACGCAAATAGAGAAAAGATGAAAAAAGAAGGAAAAATGAGAAAAATTGCAAAACTTTAAACAAATAAAAAATGAGAAGGAATTTAAAAATTGGGGGAAAATGAAAACATTAAAATATCGTTTTTTTAACGAAAATTATGAGAAAAATTAAAAATTATTAAAAGAAAGTAAGTGAAAAATGAAAAATAAACATGCGCTAGGCATCAAATAGGTTGCACAAACAAGTGGCGGAATGTACACGGAGAAAAATGATTGATGAGGATGACAATGTCAAACATGGTTGTACGGCTTATGATGCGTGTAAATAAAAAAGCTGTTATCGCAGTAAGGCTGCAATATGAGAGACACACAGCCAAAAGTCATTATTACAATGTCCAATTTGTTGACAAAAAGAACGTTGCATCAACAGGAGAAATGCCGATCGTCACAATGTGGCATTGTTATTCTCACGCACAGTTTGAATGTCCCGCGCTATCTTCATTTCAACAATGCCAGCTCTGTTGCCGCGCACGATGCTTTTGATCGAATTCACTTTTTAAGGAGTGTGATTGCAATGATGTAAGATATTCATACCGCAGCAAAGTGATGTTTGTTTCTCTGACATAACAACACTGAATTTCCTACATGCGATGTGATCATTTGTATATTACCTCTTGTTAACTGAACATCATGACAGTCAAATTTAAGAGTTTAATGAAATTCACATTAAAGAGTGGAATTCACACAGCGTATACAATTTTTTATAAGTACTGCAGTCAGTATGCCAAGTTATTTATGGTGTACCTCTTATAAAATTGTCAGCTTTCATAGGGCGGGGTAGAAAGAGGGAGAGAGAGATAAGCTAAAAAGAAAACCCAAGGGTTGGATTTTTTGTCCCTCCATATGTCTCGCAGAAATTTTGCTCTGCTATCAGTGTAAGCACTCATTTTGTCATGGGGGATGAAATGTTTTCTTAGAAGTTGAGTGAAGGTAGGAATTTAAGTCCCATTTTGTCAATTGCCCTGGTTGGGCTTGCAAATGTGTCATAGACCTAATAAAAGAAAGGAAAATTATTTAGCAAGGTAAAAAAAATTCAAAAAATAAAACAAAACAAAAATAAACTGAAAGATAAGCTGATGACAAAATAAAAAAATAAATATAACAGCAAAATAAAATAATAAATTGAACTTTTAAAAAAATAAATAAAAGAATGAAAAAGACAAAAAATAAAAAAACAAAAGAATTACAATTAAACAATCGAAATAAATGAAGTAATGAAATAAAACAAAAAATAAAATAATATAATTAATTTTAAAATTAAATAATAATAGAATAGAAACATTAAAACCACAAATAGAAATAAATATGTACGATAGTAAAATGCTGTCGGTGAAAACTGTCCAAAAATTGCGTTCAACTTAACGATCCGTTCAAACAGACGCAATACACAGGTTTTTCATCCCACCGAAACAGGTTCCTTCGTTGCTCAGTCGGTAAAGGGTTAGGTTAGTGTTAGGTAGGTTGCAGGTTCGATCCCCGGTTAAGGCAGGAAAACTTCTATCAACAAAATGCCAAAGGAAAGCATCCGCACGTTTCGTATATTTAATTTTTTACGATTTTGGTGGTTGTTCTCGCGAGTAATCATTTTAAAGGGCTCTTTTGCATGTTCCGCCACTCATACTCCCGCGATACAGCCACAGAGCGCGAAAAACACAAAAATGCCGCATTGTGGGCCACGCAGCAAGCGCACGGTGCGCTTCACCACAGCGGGGCCATGCATTCAACAATGCTACAAAGTTACCTCCACAACTTAACACGCACCTTCGAAATTACAATGCTGACATTGTGCGGTACGACGTGGGCAATGTTGGGCCTGTGGGTGACAATGTAACATTGTTGAACGGAGCGGAATCACTGTCGTCAGCATCATTCATTTCTCTCCGTGTATGATTTTGTTGTTGGATTTTTCTAATAATCATACAGTAAAAATTCGAAAAAGGCGTCATTGATGTACTTTAAAAATAATAACATCATGTACAAGGAGGAAGAATTTACTCTGCTAAATTTCAAAATTGAGGTACTGCTCCAAGCCTTAGATAATATTCTCGTATCTTAATGGAAACTGTCATTTCTGGATGAAACACAAGGAAGACAACAGACACAAAGAAGAGAAACGAAGGCCGAAAGACAATGAGATGAATTTTGTGTGTGATATTTGCGTAACACCGAGGAGGGGTCCATTTCCCATTTATGTGTGCTAAGTAAATTCGTACATTTTTACGTAATTTAAAGGTCATAAAGAGGAAAACTGTTTATATGAAACAGGTCATTTTGAAAGATCCATTTTCAATTGTTTTCTCAAGTTTTTCCACAAGAGATGCGCTAGAGAATAACAGACTATACTGACACATTTTTCTTCACCTGCAGGTCGATTGACGAATCGAAATCGCGAATGCATAACTCAGCAACTCTTTATGAGATTGATGTAATTAAATAACGATTTAATAATCTAGGCGCAGGATACGACTTTTTGAACTCAACGGATATGTGTATTGCATACGCATGAAAATGAAGGCGCACTGCGGGCCGATCAGTGAAGCTGGAATGCAAATCGATAGTTGAATTGTTATCGAATGATCTTCATAGATGTATCCCTATTCGAGCAATGTTATACGTCGTTTAAACTATTTAACGATCAACCTCACTTAAGGTCTATCACGTATGCTAAGAATTCAAAGTTCAATTTGACAATACAGAGTTGCAAATTTTATATGTTTTACTATTGAAAAATTCTGATATTTTGAAGTTTCTCAGGTGAATAACAACTTTAGTCGATTCCTTTCTATTTTCTGAGGCTCAGAATGCTAGCAACTGATTGATAATGCGCCTCGAAAAATAAAACTAGATCAACCAAAGTTTTTTTTTTCAACCGAGAAACTTAAAATTACTGACATGTTTCTATAGTAAAGAGTGCAAACTTTGCAGTGCTTGAAGACTGCCTCAACGTAATGTTTCGTTCTGGCATTTGAACAAAATTTTTCCTCAAAAAGAAACACTTTTTTATAGGATCATTAACGACACGGGAAAAAAATTGCTAATTCAACAATTCAATTGCTAAAAACAGCGAGTGCAATGTTCCAACGCAGATTTTACAACAAAAAAATGCTACTTTAACCACCCCCGTGGTTAAATTAGTTTACAATGTGGTTAAAGTAGCATTTTTTTGTTGTAAAATCTGCGTTGAAACATTGCACTCACTGTTTTTAGCAATTGAATTGTTGAATCAGCAATTTTTTTTCTTTTTCCGTGAAACTAAAAGCAAAAGCTTTAATACACTAAACATCACTTACTGCTAATATCATTCGTTCTGGACCCGTAGCCAACATTGAGAGACTTCTCGCCTTGGAACAAGCCGAAATTTATTCGACCGGTGGAGGTCTGGGGGTTGAGCGTCCTCTTGGCCTGGGCGTCCACCCAGTGGTTCGTCGTGAGTGCAACCCCTATCAGCATGATAGCCACGCACGAACCCAGGAACGTGATGAATATCATCCCTCGTTTGTAGAGATTCATTTTCGCCTTCCTCTCCTCCCTTCAGCTAATCTCTTCCATAATGGGCGTCTGAAACAGAGAATGGAATTTGATTAGGACCTTTGCTTCGTGTCATTGCTTCGTGTATCTTTGCTACAGAGGCAAAATTCTAACCCAAAGCATAAACGCATTAATAGATCACTAAACCATGAACGAATTTTGACTTGTGAACGGTGCTCCTATTTCCCGGAAACTGTTCCGAATTCCGGAACTTTTGAAATTTCCAAAATGTTCTGGGTCTTTTGCATTTTCCGGAAATTTCTCGGAACTTTTGAAAAAATCTAAGAGGAATTTCGGAACTTTTGACGAATGGAGTGGGAGAATTGGAACAAAAGATTTCCGAGATCGCAACTTTTAACGGATTTGGAATGGAAACCCTGCTTGTGAATACAATTTTTGAAGGTAAATGACTTGTAGAACATGATGCGCACATTGAAGACGTAAAAAAGTAACTCAGAAACGATTATCACACGATAATAATTATAATCGATTCTTGTTGGAGCATCTGGCTCCTTCAATAATCGATACATCTCCATAGGTTTAAATGGAGAAAAACAATGTTGCCAATTTGCTGGATCCGCCAATACGCATGCTGACGTTATTATTCTATAAACAACTAATGTTCCCAGATTATTTACTCTCTGAACATAGAGATTAGATTTCGGTTGGTTTCAGTTTCTCGTGATATGAAAATAAAATTACCGTAACTTTCTGTCTTTAGAAGCAACTTCGAAAATGAGACGAGAGTGGTTACCGCGCATCTCTGCGATGGTCAACGGTGTAAACGAAAAGTTCCCGAGTTTACTCTGTAAAACGCTGGCGGCTGAAGAATCTATCAACTTTATGGCTACGAAGTTTGCTCCCTCCTCGAGGCTTTCGATAAGAGATAGTTTGGAAGTTATAACCCTGATGATCTTCGCCTCTCATAAAATGGAGTGGGGAGGAGCTACGAGATAGGGCTCAAAGCGCGGGTGGACGATAGGCCTCCATCAACGATCGAGACGTGAGAAGACGCGCAAGGTGTGTGCGGGAACTAGGCTGCCGTGCTAGGGAAAAACGCCGTATGAGCCTGCAGAAACTGCCATATTTTTTTCAATAAAAACCTAATTTACTAGGAAAATCGTTCGTATTTTTCTTCGATTTTTAAAAAAAAAATTGTTCGCAATTTTATCTAAAATGTCTGAAAATTTCAAGGTTAAATCCGCATAATTTTCTTTAAGAATAAATGTTTATCCGGGACGATTTGGAAACTCTCGAATGTTCATACGGCGTTTTTCCTTAACACGGCAGTAGGGAGGTGGTGGCATTTGTTGGGGAGTCGAGAGTATATCCACGATTCATGATTTTTTAATCGAATTTACTGAATTTAGAAGATGCAAGGTCACAGACTCACAGATGTGACTGTTGTTTTGGCTCACTCTACCTTCCAATCCTTGTGAGGATAGAAATAATAAGAAAGAAAGTTCGGTAAAACCAATGTATCGAACCTATTTTCCAAAGTGAATGATCCGGACGGGCATCAGACCTACTGATTCTGCAGTGTTAGCTGAATTCCTGAAAACCAATTGAGCAGATACCAGACAGTCAAATCACACCGCACTTTCGGTGAAGATTTTTATGTTGGATTTTTTTGGTTTGAGATTCGGTGGAGAATCTTAATCCCACTCATGAAAAAAAAAAAATAAAATAAAAAATAAAAAAAAGCAATAACTCTACGTAGGAGCAAGTGAGAGTGGGTAAACAAAGGGTTATTTTTTCCACCACTAACGTGTGACACCTGCTCCATCCTGTTGGTTTGACTTGTAGATATTCTTTAAATATAATGTAAACATTTGGTTTCAATATGCTTTTTTATAATATAAGTTGCATGCAACGTGCAATTTTATTTTACCCTCAGAACTTTATGAGACATAACATGACTGAATCCATGGCCGGATTTACCTACTTGCCGCCGATGGGCCGCCTGTACTTTGCCGCCCTCTTCTCATTCATTTTGAAACATCAATAAAAACCATCAAGTGAACGTGCCGGAGGGAGGAGGGTGCATAAGACGCGTTCACTCGTGTTGGACACATTTTTTGCGTAAGCCCTGTCAACACTACTGGCAAAAGTTCACAGAACTTCGCGCGAAAGTTCAGTTCCGTAAACCTATCTCTGTGGGGACAAGGCCTTTCATTTGTAAGAAATGAACTAAAAAATTAAGAAAGAACAGACATAAATGTGGTTTAATAATTTTAACTTCCGCCGTCGTGCCGCGCTGACCACACTGTGTTTGGCGCAATGCGTGAAGTATTCATGTAGTCTTGTAGGCACTGTGCGTTTCACGCCGCGCCGACCGGTGTTGACCGTATTGTGTTTGACGCAATGCGTGAAGTATTCAGGCACTCTCGTAGGCGCTAATTTGTGTTACATGCCGACCGCCGCGCCGCGTCGAGGGCTTCTAGTTTTCATCTCAGCAAGTCCTCGTCATCATTTCTCTTTGCGCCGCGCCGCTCCAGGCCAAATTACGTGTTTGGTTTCTCTCTTAACTCAACTAATTAAAGGTGCGCAGTCTTTTGTATCACCGAAATACAACAAAATTAGAAATTAATGAACTCTCAGGAAATGAGAGACTTTGTCACCTTTTCTTGTTTGTAATGTATTTCTGAATCTGATTTTTTTGTACCTGCATTTAAAAAAATTGCAAAATTTGCCGCCCCCTAATTCTGTAGCCATGGCCCGCGGCCCATGTGACCGCCCCCTTAATCCGGCCCTGACTGAGTCAATATGAGATGGGCGCTTCAGAAGGCTGTACAGTGACCACACTCTCCCGATGAAGGCACTCGAGCTTCCACCATTGCCATACTGAGAGCAAGTTATTCCTTTCTGTCGCAACGGCCGGCACCAGCGCCGAATCCTAAGTGTTATTAATGAGCAAATGTTGTGGTACTGTGGTAGCATATGTTTCGCTTTTCCGGCAAAAATATTCTATCCTGAGGTTGGTTCGCGGCGAGACTGTATCAATCAAAGACACAGGGTTGCCCAATTTCAATTTGAGAGGTGCACTTTAATCCGGGGAATCCGGGGATAAATTGCTGCTTCAAGTTTTGTTTGTTTCGTGCGGAAGTAAAAGGACAGTGAAAATCTCAAAGTAGTTATGAAAATCAGGATCAGAAATAATGATCAATCTCAAATTGCACTTTTTACAGTCAGCGAATGCCCAGAGTACGGCACGGCAACAATGAATATTATACAGGGTTATTCAAAAGTCACGCACCACTGGCCATAACTTTAGTTTTAATTAAGATATCGATTTGCGGTTTGTAACGTTTTTCCTCATATTGAGAGGGAAAAGTTTTCAGGTACTTTTCAGATTTTGACTCCCTTTGGGGGGAGGGGGGGTGAGGTGCAACTCAAACATTTCGAATGGCCACCCCCGTCATGGCCAGCGGTGCGTGACTTTTGAATAACCCTGTAGAGTCGTGGACCGCTCTGGTGGTCGATTTTGAATGATCAATCAAAAGCTAATTTGTGGGATTGCGGGCTCCGTAAATTGTTGATGAAAACAATGAATTGGTCTGTCATGAACTTCCAAGAGGCAAGCACCGCTGGACGAGGATTACATTCCAATCACTTTACCTTGCTTCATTATTTCTCGCTATTTTCAAAACCTGCATTAGCATGCAGATCAAATTGTTCACACTTGAATATGAAATTGAGTCGATTCATCCAACAAAATCCTTTTTGTCTAATTCTGTTCTTTTCTGTTTTCTTCTATTCGGTCTGTTGGTTTCGATCTAGAAGCACTCACAAAAGTACAAGCTTTAATCTCAATTTTTTCAGAATTTTCAGGGGTGTGTAATTTTAGGGGTGTAATTTTTTTCTAGGGATGTAAATTTACAGGGGTATTAAAAAAATAGGGTGATACCTAGTGCTGTTGGCGCAAAAATGTTGAATCACCTTCGATTTCACAAACATTTGTTGATGGATAAGATCACGCCACGCCCTCGCTTACGTGAGCCTTGCATCCTAAAGCAGAGAACTAATATATTTTCAACAAAAAGTATTTTCCAGTATTTTTTCAGGTTTTTTGTTTTATGATTTCGAAAAATGGGGGGGGGAGGGGGAGTTGGTCTCTGAAAGTCGGCCACAGTGGCTTACGTAATATACTTGAACAAGGCCTTCTGTTTAGTCAACCATTTGAATTGGAGTATTTTTCTCGGTGCAACGAATTAAAATCACAACAAAGAAGGTCACTGGTTTGCTCGACTTCGAATTCATAGAATCCGAGCGTAAATAGTGACTCGCGTCACAATTTGAATGCAGGTTTTTTCATTGAAGTGCATTTATGATCTGTTAAACGGTCGTCCTCCCTCAAGAACGGAGCAGGGAAGCGGCACGCCTCGTCGCACAGGTAACCAATCCATTGATCGACGCCAGACATAAAATTTGTAACAAAAACCTCACATTTGTACATATATTTCGTCAAATTTTGAATTTTTAGAAGGTGCTCTTGAATGATAATATTACAAGAAATACAGTGAGAGCCCGTTTTAAACCTCTACATCTCGTAATTATCAAGGTTTTGAAGTTTCTCGATCGTGTCCAAAAGCAGTTTTGGTTGTTCCTTTGTGCGTCGCGTCGCGCCATGCGCATGAAAAAGTGATTTGCGAGCTGAAGATGATGTTCCGCTCGCCGGGGCGCAGCTTAATAACTGGGTCGCAGAGATCTTGCTCGTTCATCACGATTTAATTCAATTATTGAGAGGTGCTCGGCTTTCATCTGGAATCATGATTTACGCGGACATTGATATAGTAGATCGGATCCGATCGTGCCCGGCCCAGAACCGGTTCGCGCCTCGAAACAACAGACGAGCATACGATCAACCCGAATGCTCACCGATTGTGTTCGGATCCCTAGGGGAGTCTCGCGCGTACAATATGGAGTGACAAATTGGAGACTTCTTTGTCGATGAGCTAATGGAGATGTTGCATGTGTAAGGAATTTGCGATTTGACTATTGATTCTTATGTAAAAGTTCGCGAGAAACAC